CCCCTCCTGGAGCGTCAGCCTCCTGCCTGTCCCCATGCTGCTTGCTGGGGAGCAGGGACGGCAGGAGGGACAGCAGGAGAGAGGAAGTCACAGGGGCCTGCTTTCAGGGTTTCTCTCCAGCAGGATAATCTGATTTTTTTAACTGTATCTGCTCATGTGTCAAACCACTAAGGCATATAGGTTATGCTAGCCTGGTTTGGAAGAAGGAAGACACTAAACCATTCTACCTCCGAGTCCGCGGTTTTTACAACCAGATGGGGACTGGAGATCATGCCAGTCCAGTGGCTCTGTACCTGCCTTAGGGTACCTGGCCACATAGAAAGTGCCCGAGCCTGGCCATCACTCCAGGGCAGTAAAGGCCGAGTCTGGAGGGGGGCCCCGTCCCGGGCGTGTTCCATAGGTAGGGAAGAAACCGACCAAATGCAGAGCCTCTGCTGGTGATCTCCGTGCACCAGGGGCGGGAGCTCTAAAGTCTCTGACAGGTGCCAATCTGGTCTGAAACAAGGGGGCCGAGCCGGGGCTCGGTATGGAAATTGGAAACATTGTAAAGCCTAAATGACCTAGTTGCCTGTGCCTAGCGCATAATGGATGCCTCGTATTGGTTAGCACTACCCTACTATCCTGCATTTCTGTGCATTTTTTTATTCTCATCAGAAACTGGGGCCCACGATGGTTGCGAAACATGTTTTCTTAGCTCTGAAGTAGTGGAACCAAGATCAGAACCCACTGTTCTTGTTCCTTTGGGCCTGGCACCCTGGAGTCCCTGACTCCTGACCCGGACCTCCCTAAACAGCACCTGTACTGGCCATTTCCAGTGGAGCGAGCCTGAGTCCTAGAGTCACGGGGACCCTCCCATTTCAAGGCCAAGGCACCACAGAAGTTAGGTAACTTGGCTAAGAGCATATTGAGGCAATCGTGGCAAAATGGGAACTGTAACCCAGATCTCCTGACTGACATGTGGAAGAGTAGAAGAAGAAATCTTGGGAGGAGTCCGTATTTTCGCGGAGTTTACAGTTTTGTGTAGGGTAACCTTTTCCTGGTCACTGTGAAGTGCTTGACGGTGAGGCTTCGTTCCTGAACCCTGGAGATCTTTACTGGAAGTTGCTCTGTAAACCTCCTGGCCCCCATCCTGATGGGGTTAGAAAGTGACTTGCTGCAGAACCAGATTGTTCTGCGTGCTTTTATGAAGTAGGTGCAGCCACAAGAGGGCCCGGAGCAGAGGCTCAGGAAAACCAAGGCTGTTACAGTCGTGGGTCCTAGAGACGGAAGGCAGGCCAGGCCACCCCATGCTGGGCCCCCCGGGGAAGCACTAGGGTCAGGAGGCAGGGGAAGACTCAGACAATGGCCTTTGTTGGGGTTTCCATGGGAAAAGCAGGCAAGACAGGGTGAATGATTCAGGACTGGCGACTTTGAACAATTTTGGTGGGCTTTGGGTAATAGGGGTGGCACCAGGCCCTGGATGATCAAGGCAGAGGAATGTTGCTCCTGGGTGTGGGGACAAACGGGAGAGGCAAGGCTCTGATCGGTTAGTTCCCTGCTTTGCTATCTCGTAAGAGCAGGCTGGCCCTGGGCGGGCAGTCTCCCCAGCCAGAGAGGTTTTTAAGATGTCAGAACATAGAGGGGGAGAAACACACACACATCTGCACAGATACCCAGAGCCAAGCGCTCTTTCCAGCCTGTCTTCTGGTGTTAAACTGGGTCTGTGTGCACATGAACTCACAAGTGTTCTGGGATGTGTGAGGAAGAGAGAACATGCCTGTGAACCCAGGAGAGCAGCCGGCTGGACACCTGCACTCCTGGCACGTGCACGGGGCAGACCCAGAGCCCTGGGTACAAAGGGAGCGAATGGGTGTGGTCTCGTCTTTTCTCTTCCCAGAATCAGATTCCTACTGACAGAGAGCCAGCCTACTTTAGAGATACTGTTCACTGAGCAATAGGAATACAAACACTTCTGTGATACTGGCCTTTGATTATAGGACCATTATCAAATCCAAGAGTTCAGTGATTGGAAATGGTTCCTTTGTAGTTTGGGTTAAATGAGCTAGTACGTTCTGCGTCCTGACTGGTCATGGCAACCATCTGGGCAGAAGAGCCGTTTTGCTGCTTTTCACTGAATATTCACAGATTCACAGCTGGTTTAATGCTTGTGGCTCGACGCTCTGCTCGATGTGGTGTCTCCCCAAGGATGGAGAGTCTTAGCTGTGCTGTGGGCAGCCCGATTCCCCTGCAGGCCTGCTCTTCATTTACCAGATGTGAGGGAAGAGTCCTCTGCTCCCCGAGGAAGTGCCATGTGCGGTGAGCCCCTGCAAAGCTGTGGGGTGTGGGGGGCAGGAGGCGACCCAGGGGGAACCTGCAGGCCAAGCCTCCGAGACCCCTTGATGAGCCCCTGATCCTGGCGGTGCCTTCCTTGAAAGTCTGACATAGGGAGCTTCAGACGTCCCTGCCTATTTGGGAAGACTTGAGACTCTGCTGTTTGCAGTTTTACAAACAAAACACGTCCAAACTTACATAAATTTGACCATGTGAGCGTAATTTGCGAAATCTGTGCGTATGTTCAACAAGTGCTTCTTGAGCGGGTCCTCTGTGCCAGGTACTGTATCCGTCAGTGGGGGCACAGTGATGGACAGGTGGGCATGGCCCTGGCCTCAGAGAGCTGCTGGTCTGGGGGAGGTTAGGGGTCCCAGCAGTAGTCAGAGCGCGTGTCTAGATACCACGGTGGAGGGGACAGAGGGTGTGTAGTCCGTGGCACTTCCTCTGGTCTGAGATGGCTTCTGGAGAAACGGCACAGATGCCGAGATCTGAAAGGTAAGGGGCTGACAGGCGGGGCAGGTGCATGGGCTCTTAGGTAGAGGACCCAGGAGGAGCAGAAGCCCAGAGGTAATAAGGCAGGTGGGTTTAAAGGAACTGGAAGGCTCAGTAGGGCTGGAGCGTGGAGCAGGGCACAGGGCGGGGTGGGGTCTGGTCCTGAGAGCACAGGGCTCAGACTTGAACGGGGCAGGAGTGCAGACCTGTACGACGTTCTTCCAGGGGTGACTGCAGTCCACCCTGTCCTGCTAACTAGAATAACCCGGACGACAACCATCTTTTAACGCAGAGTCAGGAAACTTCTTAAATGTACTGCAAATCAGATTTGAAGTCCATTTTCCTGTGATCTCCCAAGTTTTGTCAAACCTACATGGGAATAGGAGTGGGTTGGTTGTGAAAAGAAGAAATAGTTTATATTTCTGGGTGATGAAAGTACGAACTTTTGTTTTTACGTTGTTACAGAGGAAAGTCATTGGCTTATTTCAGTTGAACTTGTTTCTTGAATAGTGTGTTCGTGATGTTTTCTCTGTCCACAGGCAGCCCTTGGTTGTAGGAGAGCATGAGTTTTGGGAACAGGGCGGCCATGAGCTCCACCCACGGCCCTCGGGGACGTGCTCCGTTGATGTTTTTGTGTCTGTGGTGCAGGGGATCGTTTTCAGAGTAGGAAATAGAGTTACTTGGAGACTCGAGAAGGCCCTGACGATGCTCTGGTCCAGGGGGGAGCTTAGCATGGAGCTCCGGGGAGCAGTAATTCCCGCTGTCCTTCTTGCTGTCCGCGGATGGGCATGCATGGTGGCCTTGCCCCTCCGATCCAGTCCCCGTGCTTGCTTCTGACGGGACTGAGGGCGGATTTGATGCTGCCCGGCGGGTTAACAGATGGGAACCGGGACTTAGGTTTTCCTGCAGTTATTTTAAGGGCCCCGATGGCTACAGGTGACGAGCATCCTCATGCTCTCACCACCGCGTCTGCAGC